AGATCTTCTGTCTCCACTCTTCCCTAAGCTCCCACTGGCACAGCCAACTGCTGAGAGACTTGAATAGGCCAAGGCAGCATGCTGGATTTTCTCCCTTATATTTTTTGGGATACGGTTTGATTATTAACCTTTTATTTATTTTATTATTTATGTATATGAGTGTCTTACCTGAACGTATGTACATGTACCACATGTATGCCTGATGTTAGTGAAAGTCGGAAGAGTGTCGGCTCCCCTGGAACTGGAATTACAGACAGTTGTTGAGCTACCATGTAGATGGTGGGAATGGAACTCTGGACCTCTGGAAGAGCAACAAGTTCTCTTAACCACACAGCCAACTCTCCAGCCCTAGTTTGGCTATTCAAAGAAAGCCAAAATAGCAATGGTTTAACCAAGATGGATTTGTCACTTACAGGAAGCCTAAACTTTGGGCCTGGGGCCCTGCTCTGGAGTCATCAAAGGCTGCCTCCTTCTGTACCCTTACACTGTAATCTCTAAGATGTCCTTTCTTCCTGTGCAGATGCTCACATTCTGAGGCAGCATTCCAGCCCAGGAATGACATGTATTCTTCAAGGACATGATGGTTTATACATACCTTTCAAGCAAAAATCTGGTCATATATGGCCATACCTAGCTATAAGGAAGTTTGAGTACTATGGTCATCATTATAAAAGAAGCCTTGCATTTCCCAAGAGACTGGACATTGGACCAGCTAGCAATCCGAGTCACCCACCAGTGGACCCTTCTCTTTACTACCAGCATACACAGCTAGATTAGAAAAACATAGTTTGTCCACAAAGTGGGATGTTAAATGCAATTAAATATTCAAAGATGTGTGTGAAATGGGATGCTAAATAAGAGAAGCCAATGATAAAAGACCATATGTTAAATTATTCCATTTACGTGTAATAGTCACAATAGGAAAATCTATAGAAATAAAAAGATAATTCATGATTGCCTAGGGTTGGAGGAACAGAGAGAGAGAAGGAACAGTGGCTTAAAGACAAAGAACTTCCTTCTGAAGTGATAAAAGTGTCCTAAAATCAGCTATGATTGTGGCTGCATAATTACAAATAAAGTGGATTCTACACTATAAATAAGTGAATTATATCTCAATAAATCTGTTTACAAAAAAAAAGCAGTCCCTTAAGCATTTGCATCCTCATTCCCAGTCCTAAATGTTCCAGCAGAAGCCTGTGTGTGATGTACACGTGTGCCTCCATTTGATCTAAGTCAAGGTCTTTTGAATTCCCTGGAGAGCCACAGTCCTTCTGTGTCTTCATCACAGATATCAGCTCTCCTTCCAACAGGATGAAATTTTAATGATGTCAATTCTGTTTCAAAATGTTTGCTTCACGAGATGGGCCAAGACACAGGTAAATAAACAATGTACAATATTCTTTCTAATCTTCAGTTACTAAGAGTTCTACATCTTCTAATGCTTAAAGGTACTGAATTTGCTTTATTCAAGTTAAAAAGTAGAGGCTAGAGAGATGACTTGATAGTTAAGAGCAATGACTACTCTTTTAGAGGACCCAGGTTCAGTTCCCAGCACCGATCCACATGGTGGCTCACAACCATCTGTCACTCCTGTTTCAAGCAACCCAATGCCTTCTTCTGACCTTCACAGGCACCAAGCACACACACATAATACACAGACATACATGCAGGCAAAACACTTATACACAAAATCAAATCAAATTTAAATTAAAAATAAATTAATTAAATTAAAAAGTAAATGTCTAGGCTACCTGAATAGCTAATCAGCAAGGAAACAGAAGATGAACCTACCCATACTCATAATGAGTAGTGCCCACTCTCTGATGGTTAGCCATTTTTAAACACCACACTCATGCAACATTATCTGATTTTCCTAAGTCTGCAAATGCAGTTGCTACACAGGCCTTCTGATCTGGGCATCTACTTAGAAGTAAACCACATCATCATGGGACATGGAATCAAGTTGGGATACCTCTCCAAGAGACCCCATTCCCAGCAGAAAAGGAGGTCTCCGTAAAGAGACCCTGAGTATGAAGACAGAGCAGAGCATTCTGGCTCCAGCTTCCGTTTCCTTCCTCCTTCCCACCTCATCTACACTTCCCCTCACTTCCCATCACCAAACAGAAGTTCCCTAGAAAAACAATAGAGCTTTTTGTCTAAAATACAAAAGATTGTTAGAAACACATGTGTCATCTGTTAGCAATGGGCAATCCGGGGTTATGGGAATACCAATAGATTTAATTATTCTGCAATCCAGGCTTTACCTTCACAGCTTCACACAGTGGCCTGTCTGGGCCTCCATTCAGTGACTCCCCTGCCACATGCCTGGTCTCAGCAGCTTTCCTTAGCCTCAAAGGAAGCTTCCACAACCCTCGTGTATCTTCCTTGATAAAGCCAAAGCTGCTGAGTTCTGCTCGCAGGGCTGGAATGTGGCCCCTCCTGACTTGCATTTACATGAACTTTCCACGGTTGTTTGGTCTTTCCTCTTGGAGCTTGCAGAATTCACTGGGCAGGGTCTCTCCCTTTATTCCATCTAGCATCAGGCCTTTCTTTAAACTTTGTATTTCCTTGAGCACAGCACTTGGCTCCAACAGTAAGCTTCCTGGTGTTCTTTTTCTCCCCAAATTGTACATTTTGTATTTCTCTTTTCCCTGCCTGCTCCATTTTGTTGTGGATCTGCCCAAGAGTGATCACTAGTAACCACATGACACAGTCAATACTAGGCTGTCTTGATACCTCCTCTGCCAATGGCGTTAGTCCAAAACTCTTCAATGTAGCCTCAGGCAGATTCTTAGGACAAGGGCAAAAATGCAGCCACATTCTTTGCCAAAATGTCACAAGAATGATCTGTAGACCACTTGCTAATATTCTTCCCCTCTGAAACCCCTTGAGCTGGGCCTCCATAGTCCAAATCACCCTCAGCACTACTGTCTTCCATGCTCCAACTAGAATGGTCTATTAAGGCCCCATTAAAGCATTCAACCACTTTCCTAGTCCAAAGTCCCAAAGTCTTCCATATTACTCCAAACAAAAGCAAGGTAGACTTGTCACAGCAATCCCCCAGTCCCTGGTAACAAATTCTGTCATAGAGCTATTATTGCTGTGATGAAACACCATGACCAAAGCAAGATGGGGAGGAAAGGGTTGATTTGGCTTAAACTTACACATCACAGTCCATCACTGAAAGAAGTCAGGACAGGAACTCAAACAAGGCAGGAACCTGGAGGCAGGAGCTGATGCAGAGACCATAGAGGAGTGCTGCTTATGGGCTTGCTTACAGTTTTAAAGGGTTAGTCCATGATCAACATTGGTGGGAAGCAGCCAGGCATGGCACTAGAGCAGCAGCTGAGAGCTTTACATCCTAATCCCCAGGCAGCAGACAGAGAGAGACTGGGCCTGATGTGGGCTTTTTAAACCTCAAAGCCCACTACCAGTGACACACCTACTCCAACAAGGCCACACCCCCTATTTCTTCCTAAACAGATTCACTCCCTGGTGACTAAGCAGTTTATGGAGGTCATTCTCATTCAAAACAGCACACTTTGTTTATTGTTTTTAATTTTTGGAAAAAGGAATGTGTAGAACATGCCCTTGTCTTTCAAAACCTTGTTCCAATATCACATTCAGACACTATGTTGATATACTGTCAGGATAGAGAATGTTCCATTTTCAATTGTCTCTTTCCCACCTATCATCCAAGCCCAACCTCCACCAAGAGTCACCACACCACTTTCCCATCTCAAACATGGAACTCACCCTATGAGGATTAGCAGAATTTTTTCATTTTCTGTTTTGAAAAAAATTTAGTTTCACAGGAAGTTTTAAAACTATATATAAACAGCCAGGTGCAGTGGCTCACATCTTTAAACCCCGCACTTGGGAAGTAGAGGCAGACAGTTTGCTGTGAGTTTGAGGGCAGTCTGGTCTACACAGCAAGTTCCAGACAAGCCAGGGATGCACAGTGAGGTCTTATGTTAAAAAAAAAAAAACTCAACAAATATATAATATACACACATGCTGTATGTACGGATATAATATACACACATGCTGTATGTATGGATAAATGTGTGTATACAGAGGCCAGAAATATGGCTCAGAACTTCAGAATACTTGCTGCTATTGCAGAGGACCTGGGTCTGATTCCCAGCACTCACATCTGGCAGCTCACAATTGCCTATAACTCCAGTTCCAGGGCATCCAACACCTTCTTCTAGCCCCCAGGGATGCCTGCTTACATGTGGTACAGACATAGAAAAACAGGCACACAAGCATGCACATAAATAAAACTCTTAAAAAATGTTTAAGATGGCTCTGCAGAGGAAAGTACTTATGCACAGCCCTGGTGACCCGTGAGGAGAAAGCCAACTCCTGAAAGCTGTGCTGTGTCTTCCATACAGATACCATGGTGTGTTCAAACCTGAACTCACATAAACATCAACTAATAATAATAATCAATAGAATGAAGTAAATTCAAAAACACAAAAGAAAAACACACAATCAGGTTTTGGAGAGGATCGCCTAGTGTCCACAATATCAGTATCTTACATAATCACACTACAGAGCAATGTCAAAGCCAGAAAAGTGAAGTAATAAAAATAATCAAGTTATCAGGAGGCTGAGGCAGGCAGAGCATGAGTTTGAGGCTAGTGTGGATGACATACAAAGTTCCAGACCGGCCCGGGGTACATATCAAGACCTTGACTCAGAAAAACAAGAAGGACAGAAAATGAAGGCCGGGGATGTAGCTCAGTGTAACCCAGCACTTGCCCAGGAGGCACAGGGTCCTGGGTTTGAATCCACCACCACAAAGTAGCTTTAGCAGTTCTTCAGATTTCTGTAGTCACACGTGAGCCTGAGTGTGTCTGTGTATGTGTAGTTCTATACAATTTCATCACAGAGCAGCTTCCTGTGGTCACCGTCACAGTGAAGATATAAAGTAGGTCGTTTGTAGCTGGAATTTTCCTGCCTGGCCCACAGTCAGGACAAATCTCTCTCACCTGCCAGTCCCACAGCCGCTCAAACCCAACCAAGTAAACACAGAGACTTATATTGGTTACAAACTGTATGGCCGTGGCAGGCTTCTTGCTAACTGTTCTTACAGCTTAAATTAATCCATTTCCATTAATCTATACCTTGCCACATGGCTCGTGGCTTACCGGCATCTTCACATGCTGTTTCTCATCGTGGTGGCTGGCAGTGTCTCTCTGACTCAGCCTTCCACTTCCCAGCTTTATTCTCCTCCTTGTCCCGCCTACACTTCCTGCCTAGCCAATGGCCAATCAGTGTTTTATTTATTGACTAATTAGCAACACATTTGCCATACAGAACATCCCACAGCAGTCGTTGTCACGAGGTCCCCCGTGCCCTTCCTCTAGAGACATGCCCACGCCGCCTTCATCATGCTGAATCCTTAGCTACAAGCAACTTCTCCGTCCCGATGCTCTCTCACAAGTGCTCTGCAAATGGACTAGACATAGATTGGAAGTTAGTTAGTTTTGCCTCATCCTTTTTTTTTAAACAGCACACTTTCCTCAAGGTTCATGCATGTTGCCTATCTATAGTTTCTTCCTTTGTGCTGCTGAGCAGCTTTTCAGGCATGATGTACTCTAGTTTAGCCATTCAGCCTCTGAAGGAGAAGCGTGTGGTTTACAGTTTGAGGCTATTAATAAAGGAGCCTCATCCTGTGAAAAATCTTAGTGAACACAGATTTTTATGTCTCTGCAACAAATACCCCAGAGTGGATATGGCAGATTATATGAATGGGCTGTACGTTTAGTTTTTAGAAATGGATGTGTAGTTTCCCAAAGTCCTTGTGTAATCACATGTCCCTGTTGTCAACATATGAGTGATTCAGTCTCTCCACGGTCTTGCCTTTGTTTTTAGGGTGGGTTTTATTTTTCTTTACTTGTATTTATTTACTTGTTTTATGTCTATGTGTGTCTGTGCAGCACCTCTGTACCTGGTGCCCACAGAAGAGGGTGTCAGATGCCCTGAAACTGGAGTTATGGATGGCTGTTGGCCAGTGTGTGGGTTCTGGGAGTCGAATCCAGGTCCTCTGGGAGAGCAGTCAGATGCTTACCTGCTGAACCATGTCTTCAGCCTCCTTGCTGTTTTTCCTGTTCTCCATCTGGGAGCTGTGGCTCGCTGTGGCTTTCATTTGCCTCTCCCTGAGGTCTAATGTTGATGAACATCTTTTGGGTGCTTGTTCTCCATAAACCTCTTCAAAACTACATGGACATCTTTTCCTCATTTGCTCCTTGGGTTGCTCTGTTTTTGATGCTGAGCTTTGCACGAGCTTTACATCTTCCCTGTGCACCTTTTTCAGGTACTCTGCAAGTTCTTCCTCCCAGTCTATAATTTGCCTTTCACAAAGCAAAAGGGTTGCAGTGTTAATGAGATTCAGTTTAATATTTCTCCTTTTATGACTTACGCTTTGGGTATTGAGTCTAGGAACACTTTGCCTCATCCAGGGTCACAAAGATCAAGTATTTCCTAGAAAATTTTATAGTTTCATGTTTCATATTAAAGTCCTTGAATCAGCCGTGCATATCTGGAATAAATCCTGCTTGGTTCTACTCTATTGTTCTCTGTGTACACTGTTGGGTTTGATTAGCAAAATTTTATTGAACATTTTTGCATGCCAAGTTCATGAGAAATCTTGGTCTATATTTTTCTTTTTAAGTGTTATCTTTGGTTTAAGAATCAAGGAAATACCTCATAAAGAGTTAGAAAGTGTCCCTTTGTTAACGGTTTTCATGCAGAATGCCCCCACAGGCTCATGTGTTGAAGGCCTGGTCTTCACAGGGTGGCACTTTGGAGAAGTGATCACTAGGGGGTTAACTGTGGATGGAGTAGCCACTGATGAATGTGTAGCTGAATGGACCTACAAAGGAACTGGTCAGTAGAAACGTATTTAAAGGATTTATCTTGCTCAGGTGCTCTCTCTCTCTCTCTCTCTCTCTCTCTCTCTCTCTCTCTCTCTCTCACACACACACACACACACACACACACACACACACACACACACGCATATACACATTCTGTCCATGCACTGCCTCCTCCACCATCCCTCCGACTGTGCTGATGTCCTGACTCCTTCATGCCTGAAGTGATGGAGCCAGCTGGAAGCCATTGGACTGAAACCTCTAAAACCGTGAACCAAAATAAATCTTTCCTCCTACATTTTTTAAGTTATTTCTCTCAGATAGTCTGTCTTGGTGGTAGAATGATAACAAATATTACCCCCTCACTTCATTTTTTTTGCAACACATTAAATAAAGTTGGTATTAATTCTTTGAGTGCTTGAAAAAAAACTGCCCAGTAAAACTAACCTAGGACTAGATGTTTCTTTCTCAACAGATATTTAATAACAAATTCATTTTATTTTTTGGATTTTTGAAACAGGGTCTTGCTATGTAGTCCCAAGCTAGCTTGGAAACTCTCAACATTAAACCAAGCTTGTCTCAAATTTGTGGGAATCTTTCTCCCTTTGTTTCCCAAGTGATGAGATTCCAGGTGTACAACACCATTCCGGAACAAAAGGTCCATTTTTCATATTAATAGGTTAGTGAAACCCCTTGTGCATTTAATCTGTAGCGGCAGTGTACACGCGTGTGGCAGGGAGAGTGGCTTGTACACCACCACGCACATGGGAAAGCCAATGGACAGCTTTGTGGTTAGTTCTTCCCCTGCTCCCCCCGAACCACTTTGCATGGGTTCCAGGGACTGAACTCAGGTCACCAGGCTTAGGCAGAAAGCCTGTACCTGCTGAGCCACCTCGCCAGCCCTATCATTTCATCTTGACTGGGCTTTCGTACATGATTGTGAAAGAATTGGTCCGTTTCTTATAAGGCTCTAATTTTCAAGCATAAACTTCTCCAGAATTTCCTGCTCTTGTTCTTTTTAAATAGTGTATATTAATTGTACGAATAATGGTTCTGTTATAACATTTTCATTCATATACAATCGACTTTGGTCCTTTTACGACACTTACCCACCCCTCTTACCTTCTTTTGTCTCCTCTGTTCCTCCATTGGTCCACTCTCTCTTCTTACTCTTTGTTTCTCTCCTTCGTTTTTTTTTCCTTCTTCTCTTTTGTTGACACAGAATCTCAATATGTCGCCTCAGCCTCCAGAGTTCTGGGATCCTGAGCAATCACCACAATGTCCAGCTTTGTTATCTAGAGAATTTACAATACTAATTGGATATCTTTTCTGATATAAACATTTGAGATGAATTTTGCAGTCAGCACAATTCTAAAATGTATCTAAAAATGTTGGTGTGGATTTTTTTTTTCATTTTTATCCAGTGGTATTTTTATTTTCTTTTATGTGCCTCTTTGACCCATACATTATTTACAGCTATGCTGCTTAATTCCCACGTGTTCCCACATTTTTGTCTTATTGTTGTTTTGGTTTCTAATTTCACTGTACTGTAGTCCGAGATCAGAGTCAGTATAATTCCAAACCTTTTAAATTTTCTCGTTCTTCTTATGAACCAGGATATAGTCTATTTAGGTGAATGTTCCACAGAACAACAGAACATACATTCTTCCATTGTTGGGTGAGATGGTCTACAAATGCCAATTGGATACTATTGTTTAAAGGACTTTCTCAGGTCATATAAATCCTTGAAGAGCAAGTTGTTGGGGGGCTCCAGTTATTCAAAATCCCCTTTCCACCCTGCCATCCCAGGTCCACGCCCTTCCTAAGGATCTTCCCCTTCAGGAACCTAGTCCTTCAATGCTCAAAGTCACTCTTTTGAGGATTATTGACATTTAAATAAGCGCAGTGCCCAACCCACTCATTAAATGTGATAAAGTCTGGGTCTGGGACCTGAAGGAGATAGGTAACAGGAGATGCCCAACATATCAAAGTTGGTCTAGAGTCCATCAGGCAAAGTCAAAACTCATTCCAACTAGAAAACTGGGAAATTCCAGTATGTCTATGAAGTAACCAAAAGTCAGCATTTCAACCAACAGCTGAAACCATGAACTAACCAAGAAACTCAAGGTTGGGATCCAAGACCTCACTAGAGCATGCAAGAGTCCCATGTGGTTTCCTCTAAGCCTTCTTACCTAGAATTCCTGGGACAAGGTCAAGGGGACCCTTCCTGGACAGTCTGAAACACAGCCTCATAAACTGTGAGTCATAAACTCATATGTATGCTGTGTGGAGGCCGTGAGAAATGGGAATCTGAGCCTGTGCTGTATCACACAGCTTCACCACAGACTCGGTTCTGAACACACTCTCTGCCCACTTTGCACTGTGCATGCCATCACAGCACAGCACAGGACACAGACAACACTGCTCGAACTACTGTGGCTCAGCTCTGAAACTGTACAAACAATGTTTCCTGCTTTTATAGACACAGAACAGCTTAACTGTAGAAAACACTTTGGGATTCTCCTAGCATTGTTCCTCAATATGTATCAAATGAGCACATCCTCACATTGTATAGTTAGAATGTTTCATTTCTTTTCAATGCTGCTTGAGTTGCTGAGTTTCAGTTTTAAAACATACTAAATTAATTTTTACTTGGGATTAGAACAGACTATCCAACACCTCCTAAAATTCTCTTAAAGTGCATCTGCCATGCTGTGCTACCCATGTACACAAGGTGGCATTCTCAGTATCAACAACTACAAAAAGTACTGATCATCTCTAAAAAACATTAAAAATGCTCTACATCCTGAAGGGCCGAATACTGAGCCACGACTTAATTTTTATGTAAAAATAAGCAAACAATCCATTCCCTAAGTATATACATCAACTGTCACCCTTAATAAATAGCAACAGTATATGTATATTGGGGAATTATTTTTAAACACATTTCTTTATGATTTGTGGTCAGTAAATGTTGAGCTTGTATACCTATTTTATATATCTTTCTAACTAGATGCATGTTAAATATTCTCAGGCAAAAAAGGTCTCAAGTAGAAAAAGTTTAAGGATCCCTGATCTAAAAGTAACCTTCTAGCAAAATTGACTGCCTCTGGGGCTGGAGAGATGACCCATTGGCTAAGAGTACTTGTTTCTCTTGCAGAGGACAATTCCTAGTATCTCCATGGAAGCTCACAGGCATCTAGAACTCCAATTCTAGGGGTTCTTGTGCCCTCTTCTGGCCTCTATGGGTACTACATGCACATGGTGCACATACACACAAGCAGCAGAACACTCGTATTCATAAAATAAAAGAATGATTTTAAAACAAAATTGGCTGCTACTGCAACAATTTCCATTATCAGCAACAAGATGATGAAGAAGATACTCAGAAATACACCCCCTGGATGCTCTCAACTCATTCTATGCTAATATCACCTTATTTGACCCACACATCTCTTTGGCCCTATAGAAGTTACCACTGAAGAATCATTAGGAAGGGAATTTCTAGGGACAGGGTCAGAAGAGTGACCTTGGGAAAAAAGAAAAAAGTATACACCTGTAATGGACAGGTAGACTACGTAACCACCAACTCCTGTCCCTGGGACTCTAAGAGGCAGAAAACTGCCATTTTGATGCACCTTGCTGTGTTTAACCCACTCTTCCATTGTCTGGCTTTTTAAATTTTATTTAACTTTATTTTATGTGCATTGGTGTGAAGGTATCAGATCTCCTGGAACTGGAGTTACAGACAGTTGTAAGCTGCCATGTGGGTGCTGGGAATTGAACCTGGGTCCTTGGGAAGAACAGTCAGTGCTCTTAACCACTGAGCCATCTCTCCAGCCCCCCATTGTCTGGCTTTTGATAACTCTAAAATGATGCTGATAGTATCCTTAAACACATTTTCCAACTGCCAGTGACTTGTCCTTTGATACCAGCACTCCAACTGCTGCAACAGGGGCTCCTGTTCAAGACCCTGACCCTTTTCTAAAAGTCTGGGGGTTTATCCTCACACACACATAGACCATGGGCCTGAGACCCGCCTGGAAGTGTCCTGGAAGTCATGTGACATGCTTGGAAGTGCAGACCTTTAGGGCACAGCAGTTCTATCTCTCTTATAACCACCTAGGGTCAGCCCTTCTGTGCCTTCACACCCCCACCCATCGACCTATCCCAGGCAATGAGCAAGTCTTGGCGTCCAGAGTCTCAGAATCCCCCACAAGACTCATGCACATTTGACCACAGGAAAAGTCCCAGGCCACCTTAATCCGTCATATCCCACTGTTGCTCTGTCTAGGAGGAGATGGGACAGATGCCCCTAAAAGGGACCGCTGATTTATTTGACCACGTATTTTAACTGAGGCGCAAAGTCTACACTAAAATGGAGTGGAATGAGGGTCTCCGTGAGAAGCAGCAACAGCACAGTATGTGAGGCCTCAGCCACTGAAGTGGCTGACTGGCTCATCAGACTAAGACCCTATGCGGTGACAGCGTACAGCTACAGTTCAGTATGGGGGCCCCCAATAAAGCCTGGACTGTAATTACTATAATGACCTCCCACTGCTACTGTGTCTTTAATTAAGTCTTTATCAGTAGGCATTTGCCACTTAAACCTAACTCAAAGTAACTACAGCGGCGTATCATCTACATTTTCACAAAGAATTATGGAATCATATTTCTGTCACCAAGATGAAAGGGACTATTTAGTTCAAGTGTCATTTGCAGACAAGCTGCATAAAGAAAAATCAAGCTGTCCTCTGTCGCCTCTTTCTGACAAGTGAGGCTTGGCTCAGAGATGCCAAGGGGGTTTGTGTATGCGTGTTTTGGTTTCACCATACTTCTTACCACAACTCCACTCCCTTTCTACAAAAACCATGGGGAAGGAATGATATCAAATTAATAACACACTTGATTACAGCCAATTTCTTGAGGTGGGAAGGGGCTGAGACTCTCAAGTGAAGCTCAGAGACGCTGAGCGGGATGTTTCGAGTCACGCTTGGGTGACTGACCAGTGTGGGCCTGCCTCCCCCTTGCCCCACAGTGGTGCCCTCTTCCCCATCTTACCCAGCAAGATACACCATCAGCACCTTCGGCCTGAAGAGACCACATTCCAAGTACAGGCTTCCAGTCGTAATTACTTCCTTACGTTAGCTTCACAGCGAGCACTGGCTTTGGCAGAGCCCAGCCACACAGGGCAGGCAAACCCATCAGGGAAAGGCCGCCAGCTCCCGAGCCTTGCAGGGTGCTAACAGGGAGCCGCTTCTGCAGGGCTCCCCCTGTTGAGAGAAACCTGAGCATTTGCTCTGGCCCTCGGCTTCGGGGAGGTAACTGGATCTGTCTGGGATCCAGTGAAAGCCCCCACCCATCCCCGCGGTCAACAAGTCTGGCCAACACTGGCCTCTCCCCAGAGGCCAGGCCAAGGCATGCTTCATGCACATCAAAAGCCGTTTGGTTTAAAAAGCTGTTCCACCAAAAGTGGACATCCCTCCTAATCTGTGGGAAGGCATTACACTCTAGGGTCTCGGCGAAGGGCAGCGGGAGTGGGGAGAGGGTAGAGGAGAGGAAGGGATTGTGGCTAGAGCTCTCCCTGGGACACCCAAAGGAGAAGGCCAGGCCTCCCAGCAGCTGTGTGGTTCTGCTTTGCCCAACGGGCCTGTGGCTGCGTACATGCGCCAGACTGCTGTGGATTCCCGGGTTTCCAGCTCCTGCTGGGGAAGCCTGGCGCTGCCACCAATTTCCACCTCTTTTCAGTGTCGTCTTTGGCCCTCTCCTTTCGGCTCTAATTTCATTTTGAACAGCGTAAGGACTTCGGCTGGCCACGGAACTGAAAATGAGAACAAAATGGAGATCCGGGAAAAAGCATGCTTCCTGAGCAAGACCTGAGGGGAAAGACTATTCAATTTTCTCCCATATATTTGCACCCAGCTGGGAAGTGTTTCAGGTTTCCCACCTTGGCAAGGACACCTGCTGAGAAGGTGCTTGGCCTCGAATTTGAGGCCACTGCTGCTGGGTGGCTGCTTATGCTGCCTGCTACTGCTGTTTACAAGGCCAAGTCAGGAGAGAGCTCCCCATTTGGAGAAGAAATCCAAATTGTCTTCCGCTCTGAATTTAGCTGCAACTGTTTCCACCGTTTGAGCAAAGGAAGCCTTCCAGTCTAAAATCTGCATTTCTGATGGAGAAGTGAGGCGGCAAGCTGGAGATAGTCCTTGCGTGCTGGCGGCTGCGGGGTCTTCCTCCAGCCTGGCTTCATTCACAGAAGGGCTCTTCACTACAAGGGAGGTG